AGAGGATCAGAAAGGGGAACTCTTGTTGGAACTTTCTTAAAACCTTGAGGCAGAAGGCACGCAAGCAACCTGGTTGAGGCAGGCAGGCCAGAACAGATGCTACTGGAGAATTCATGGGTCCCTAAAAATATTCAGCTTCTTCCAAAGTAGACTTTTTTTTTTTTAGAGAATTTTATTAAATTTTTCCTCTTTAAAAAAATTTTTTTTTCTTTTGGTCCAGCTTTGATTCTGAGATTTCTGAGACCATGATGTTAAAAATGGTTGTTCTGGCTCCAGTCCCATGAGCTCCCTTGCTGATTCACATTTGAGTGGTGGGAATTTTCTTGACTTGATGCATATGTGAGATGGATATGGAAGTGTGAATGTCCTAATTTCCCACTGGAACTGAGCGGATGCAACGACTCAAGTCTGGGCTGAGTGCTTTGAAGTGCACAGCAGTCAGCTCTGCCTTACAGCTCCCCATCCTTGCTGTTTGATAGTTAAATTCAAGTGTCAGAATAAAATGGAAAGCTTTAATAGAATTAATGTTGTGGAAACTTTAAAAAGTGCAGCAAATCCCATAGGCTTTAAATTCTGGAAATTCTTTTTTAGAAAAATAAATGTTTGCTTCTAAGTTTTGTGTGCTGCTTTATAGAAATTTAAAATCCTCTCAAAGACCTCCTGGTGTCCCAAAACTTGTGTCAGCAATTGTTTTCTAGCCTCAGGGTCATGATTGCTAAATTATTGTTACTGATAGCTGGAATCAGCTCAAAATTAGGTTAATTTGTTTTTCCTTTTTTTTTTTTTTTTTTTTTTTTTTGTGTGTGTGTATGTATATTACAACTCAAGTGTTTGTATATAATGAAGAGGTATTTAATAGACTTTATTCATCATATGGACCTATGGAATTTAAAGGGCATGAAAAGAGACTTGTGATGCTAATGAAACAGCAAGTTGTCCTACTTTCAGGATTTTAGAAAAGTCGTAGTATGTGCTTAAAGTGTCGTCTGACCTAATCTTGTTAGAGAAACCCAATAATAGCTTCAAGCCCTCTTATTATTAAGCTGTGGACCCCTGTGTCACCGATATCTAGTAATAATCAAAATCCCTCTGCATTTTCATGCTCATTATGGAGAAGGTCTGCACTCCAGGCTGATTTAAATTTCCGTAAAAGTGTAATGAATCTAGAGTTTATATTAAAGTGCTCACAAGATGACAAGTTATGATCAATGTCTCTTCGTATGAAATAGGCTGTAGAGGTCTCAAATTTATTAGTGCTAGCAGGGGGTACCAGTATCCTACTGCTTCATTAATCATATTTCTTTGGATATATTGCACTTTTTAATTTAACAAGGCAAAAGTCTTTCCTATTGGCCATGCAGCATGGGCCCCACTGATATACAATTCCACATCCAGAACGTTCACGTTCAGCATGGAATTTCCATACGCCTTAAACAAGGCAGCTCGACTACAGGTTGAGGAGCCCCCTTCTCTGGAGATCTTCCAAACCCACTTGGACAAAGCCCTGTGCCACATTCTCTAGGTGACCCTCCATGTGCAGGGTGCTTGGACTGGATGATATCTAGAGGTCCCTTCCAGCCTTAAGAATTCTATGATTCTATGACCACCGAAAGGTTGAGTTCTCCACTAATTCTGGCACCCACTTTGCTTGCAAGCACGTCTGTTTGATGTGTTCCCTTTGTCCCTTCATATGTTACCTTCCTCTAATCTGAAAATGGGACTCAGAGTAATAAAAGTGCTTTTCTGTATAGAATAATTTTGAGACTGCTCAGCAGGCCACATTTTGCAAGCCTGTGCCCAGAAGAGTTGGCCAGAGCAGGTCTGTGAAATGATTTGGGCTTTGTGGAAGTTAGTCTGTCATTACCTAAGACTAAGTTTAGTGTAATAACCTTTTTTTTTTTTGTCTTCAAAGAGAGATTCTAGAAGCTTCTCATTTGGTATTACTCAATAATAAGAACACTGCTGTAATAAGTCTGTGGATTTTTGGAATTTGGTGGTGACGTAAATGTGGTGATGACCACACACAAACAAATTTGGCAATAGATTTGGAGATAGATACTTTATTCTTTTTGAGTCTTAATATTTGCATATTCTAAAGCTGCAGAATATGTGTAAGGAAATTCTAATTTTGGCCTTGAGTGATGGCTTGATTCCATGGCAACACAGAAGTCCTTTTCCCCAAACAATGTTTTGCTTTTGTTACAAAGCAGGGGCAACAGGCCTTTACAAGCGTGACCGGACTTAGGTTGACCATGTCAGAATGAATTGAGTCACTGTGTGGAGGAGTCTGTCCTCCACTCAAAAGAAGAATGAAAACAGTGGGATACTTTGCTAGAAAAGAGTTTGCTTGCATAGTGTGAATTGGACTATTCAGACTGAACCTGGTTTGGCCATTATCTGTGCTGAAGAGCATTCAGTATGAGTTATATAACGTGTCATTTTAGTACTCTGCTGCAAAATCCTTTCTAACTGTACAATACAGCCACATCCTGTAACTGCCTTTTAGGGGGTCATGGTTGCTCTTGGAGCGAGAACCGTTGCTTTGAATTGCTTTGAGAGATTACTTAGCTTCTGCTGGAATTTTATTGCTGTGTTGAGAATGTATTTGATGAATTCTGATAATAAATGTGTAAAATAAATATGCAAACTGAAATAAAACAAACCAAACAAACACACCCAAAACTTATAGCAAGCTGAGCAGGCAGCCAGACTAGGACCACCAAATTTTAATAGCAGATTAATGCTCAGTTGTTGTGCAGTTTTAGCTATAAAATTTAAATATATTTTTGCTTATTTTTCCCATATAAAACAGAAGGATTAATCTTAAATGCTCTGACAGTAGTAGTCCTTCTTGTGGCCTCAAGTATTAGTGAGTGCTGTTTCATATGATTAACAACCGTAAAATTGCACATCATCTTGCAACATTTTGTAAATATGAGCCAAATAAGTGTAACTTTTATTAGTTTGGTCAATTAAAATATAGCTTATTATCTATATATGGTCACTACTGATCACATTAGTGGGAAATTTCACTTAAATTCATTAAACTACTTAATGTTATAAACAATGAGAAATTGGTATGGGCAACCTTTAATGATAAGCCAACTGTAGAAAATAGCTGTTGAGCTTTGAAATTGTGAGCTATTTGTTCAGCTGTTTTAAAATGTTCAGATAAAATGCAGTATTTCAAATGTTATGTGCAGCAACATGGAAGATAATCAAACAGCAAATGTTTCCATTCTGCAGTTCAATCACCAACGTATGTATGTGCAATTATGCCTAATTATACAGAGTGGGAAGAAAATGGAGATGTATGATGATTGCGACATCATTATAACAGACAGTTATTTAACATGTACAGCAGTTTTCAGACTGTGTGAATGTCTTTGCTGTGAAAGAATGAAAGGCACAATTTTTACTTTTTTTTTCCCTTCCATTTGAAGCAAGTGTTACGTGAAGTTGGACTCAAAATTCTTTTCTACATAACAAAATATATTCTCTGGAGCTGCCTAAGGAAAGTTGAGCAAAAGGAAATGACATCAACTGTGTGATTATATGGTATTTCTATTTATGGTAGAGCCGTGTGTTACCATGGGTATAAGCTGAAACACAGGCAGTTCCATCTCTATGTGAGGAGGAGCTTCTTTACTGTGAGGGTGCCAGGACCATGGAGCCCCCAGGGAGGTTGTGGAGTCTCCTTCTCTGGAGGTCTTCAAACCCACCTGGATACGGCCCTGTGCCACATGCTCTTGGTGTCCCTGCTTGAGCAGGAAGGTTGGACTAGATGATCTCTAGATGTCCTTTCCAACATTGAACATTCTGTGATTCTGTGATGATAGTCTGCAGTTCCTACTCTAACACTTGACGAATACATTTATGACTGTTCCTTATCTACTAATGACTTCAGGGTTACCTGGGATGCTAGGCACCTAGAATTATCCTGATGGTCTGAACATTTAAATTACTAGCTGTTGTATTGTTTAATAGCTAAGCACATTCTTAGAGATGGAATCTTAAGAAAATGACATAAATTAATTAACTCCCCAAGGCAAAGATACATACATTCAAGCCATCTCTTTACCAGGAACGTGACCTATTCCTGTGTGCTAGTCCATCCTGTCTTTCCTGAAGAGACAGCAGCATCTTTCCCTTCTAGCACTTCAATTATGAGAACAATCTCATCATGCAGCTGCAAAATCAATGAGGCCATAGCTCTGCAACTCTGACCAACTTCTACATCCTCTTGCTTGTTCACTACACTACCTGCTGTTTGAGATGGGCTCAAGTCATGCTGCTTTTACCAGGGAAAGATAAGATTCTCACCAGTTGTTTCTCCCCGCCCCCCTTCAACATATGTGCTGCACCTTTTGCTGTCTCTTTACTTCTTGTCAGGTTATGATAACCATCCTCCATCATATCTGATCTAAAGCCACCCTCAACCATGGTAGGATCTTCTTTGCAAAGATGTTCTTGCCCCACTTAGCTCAAAGCATTACACCTGTGCTTAGCAACCCCTCACTCTATGAAAAGAGAAATTGTCCCCCTGCCATGCTGCTACACCAGCTGGATGAGTTTGGTTTGGCCTGAACCCTCCTCTCTTCTTGGCAGGATGGAGGGGGCATCACCTGCACCCCATCTCCACCTCTCATGCCCAGAGCTATGCAGTAACTGTTGGTGCACTTTGGGTCACCTCAGCTGCACCACTGCTGCCCAAGCAGCAAAGGGTAAGAATCTAAGTACTGGACAAGCCTGGCAGCACCTCTGCAGCAGCCCTGAATCAGGCCATTTGCAAACAACAAATCTGCCTGATGTCACCTTGGAGATGGGTGCCTGCCACCCTTGCAGGAGGTAGCTTTCAGAGTCTTTCCACCTCCTGCATGCTCAGCTGTTCCTCCTAAGCTTCCTGATGGATCTTGCTTGTCCTCACCTGCAGCTGGGGTACCTGATACTGAAGTGCAGGTGGTTGAGGAGTCTTATTTCCTGTTGCCAGAAGCCCTCGGATCATAGCTTTTCTCCTGTCCAGTTATTAAAGTAAACAAAAAAAGCTAGGCAGCTGTGCTGAGACCTTCAAATTTCCTGGCAAGGGTAAGAATTGGGAGAGTTTGAGAGGAAAAATCAGCAGTGGTGGCTGTAGGACAAAATCAGTAAGTTGAGAGTTTTATCAAAAAGAAAGAGAGCTCCTGGAGAAAAATAAATGTAGAGGAGCTGATTTGCTAATTTGATTTGCATTTTAGTTGGTTGTTGCCTGTAGTTCTTGGGGAATTGGTGAGGTGTGCTGAGGAGAGATTTTAAAGTGACTGCATATGGCAAAATAATAGTCTTCGTAAAACAGTTCTGCTGTTGGAGACAGTGTTACGGGTTTGTGGTGTGACAGCTTGCCAAGAAGAAAGATAACTTAGAACAATATTTTTTATATATTATAGATATTTCTTTTTTTGCTAAGATGACTTGAAGAAGGATTTGGTAAAGAGATCCCTTTAAGAAAAGTGTTGTATGTTATTTGAGATTTGCATATTGACTAAACGTCTATAATACTGCTGTTGGGTGTCCTTGCTAATTACGTTATAGAGAAATGGTGGGAGATTTAAACTTTTCAAATGAAAATCAGAAAATGTAGTACCAGTAAATCTCTGTCTAGCCTATTTTCCGTAAGTGATAGCTGACAGATTGTTTCAAATTTATTGAATGTGAGGAAAATATGGAAGTTTTCAGATTTGTTTTCAGTAAATAAGAATAATATAGAAGATCTGGGCCTGGAAAATACGCCAGTTTGAGTAATTAAAGACTGATTCAGTATGTGGAGGGGAAAGACTGTAATGTTCTTCAGCTTTTACAAATCAAAGGAATAAGAGAAGGAAGTTGCTTTGGCATTTGGTGATGGTGAATGAGAAATTCAGAGGCAAAGTCTGAAGATAGGGTCAAGTTTTGTCTGGGGTAGGGATACTGAAAATAGGAGATAACTTCTAACAGTGGTGCGATGAAAGGTAGAACCTAAAAATTTGCTTCATTTACGGGTGGAAGCAGACCTCAACTATCTTCAAATTGAGTCAACCAGATATCCTTCCCTGGCTTGAATACTGACTTAAGTGCCACAGGTGATTTTATTTATGCGGTGATTTTTATAACACTTCTGTGAAATGAAAGAGTTGTTTCTCTTAAGGAGAAGAGCATACAGTAGGATTTGGAGTACTTCTTGGAATCTTTTTCGTTTGCTTAGGAAAGTGTTTTTTTCCAGGACTTTTGGGATTGTAAGAAAGATTCATTCTTACATTACAATGCTTAGTAGGGCAGAGTGCAGTAAGAACTTGAATCTTTTTTTAGTTTCAGGAGAGCTTAATGCAAACTCTTAAGAAAAAAACTACAGATACAGAAATAACGGGCAGTAAATTAAAAATCCTCATGCAGTTGCCAGAGGTAGAATGTTCAAAAATCACCAAAATGTTTTGTTAAAAGGGTTATTTCTTTAGACAACAGACTGCGGAAAGTCTTATACACTTAAAACGTATTCAGTTTTTTGTTTCTGTAGTGCCACACTGGTGAGTTTAACTTGGAAGATGGATTCATAGATGATGGACAAAGAATTATGTTAAAGGAAAGTATATGGGCATTAAAGGAAACTGTAAGGCTGGAGGGACATTAAAGGTAAAGTTCTCCAAGGATCAGTCTAGGGTCCAATATCATTTGTCATTTTAATGACAGACCTCAGCAGAAGAGTCATAATGATGTGACTTGCTGATAAAATGAAGTTAGTAGGCATTATCAAAGATGATAATGAAAAGTAGGTGACCTTGAAGATTAGCCTTCAGAGATGAGATTTAAAAGAACAGATGCTTGGACCTATCCTTAGGTTGTGATAATAAGAAGCTTCATCATTAGCTGGAAGCTGATTAACTAGAAACCACAGAATCTACTGTGGTCTAGTAGTTTCTAGTAGTTCTAGTAGAAATCTACTAGATTACCCTTGGTGGTACTTCTGTGTTAACGCTGAGTCCTACTCCCAGTGTTTACCCTTCGGCCTATGCTACCTGTTTATCCTCAGGCCTCAGATTGAGCCAATGGCTCACAAAAGCCCTGGCTTATTTGAGACCTTTGACAAGACTCAATGTGCAGTTAATGCATGCCTGACATAAAACACTTTTGAATAATTCATTTAACCGTGGTTGAATGACAATCTATTCACTCCAACCTTGTCTCGTCACAGCAAATTAAGCAAAAGCCAACATCACCACAGCTAACCTGTGAACCCTTTCCTTGCTTTTCATGTTTATGCAAACATTAATCCCAAACATTCAAATGGACGGGGATAACAGGAATAGTGCTTCTCTGTCTCTTCATCTGCATGGTACCTAAGCAGCTGACGACATTGCGTAATCACTGAGGTGAAATGACTTGCCAAGAGATGCCAGCAGTGGGAATAGATACTGGGTGTCGCCAGACTAACCACTCGACTGTGTTTAGGAAATGTGAATCGTGTTACACAGGCTTAGGAGAACGTGCAAGATATCTCAAGAATGAAGTCTGGAGAAGATTGGATTGTTTGGCTAAGCAAAGTGAAGGCCTGATTTCTAGAAAGAAACAAGAGCTATGTAAGCTATGTAAAAAATTTGGTGAATAAGCAAATAAGGAAACCACAGTTTAGAAAACTGAGAAAAGAAACCACACTTCACCAAATTGGGAGAGATTGCCAAGTATCATGAGTAGTAGAAGATATAGTTGTTTCTTTTTAGTATGCGTTACTACGTATTTTGTCTTTATGTCTATTAGCTACCTGGAGTTTTGTTCAAGACTCGTATGCTGAAGAGTTTCACTGTCATTGTTCATGGATTTGTAATTGTTTCTCCCCCCACACACCCAAAGTAGTGATTTACTGACTAGTTACTTTGGTTCTTTCAAATATACTTTTATCTCTGTCTTTAAAGACTGAAGACACTTAATGGATGCTGCTATCTTTCTAAAGTGATCTTTTCTGCTTTTGAGTGTTTTTTTCCCTTTTTTTCTTGACATTTTTCTCTTTCACTTTTTTTCGTCGGTTTTCATGAGATTCCCCACCTTCTTCCCTTTTTTTTTCCACTCATCCAATTAACATACTAATTCCTTAACTTCTTTCTTTCTTTTTTTCCCCCCCACTTCTTCATAATCAACAGTGAAATGGATACAGTCTTTATTTTATTCACAACTTTCACCCTCAAAAGAAGACAGGAATTGTCCATCTTAGAATAGTATTTTTCACGCTATTTGTTGTCATGAGCCTGAGCCAAGTTGACACTTGTTTTACTTCAGGAACATTAGCTTTTCAAACATGAATTTTAGAAACTATACTTCATAAGTGGTAGCTCCATTTTTTTTGGAGGATTTTGCAATATGTGTACCAAATCTGTTTGATCTTGTGGTAATCTTTCTCTCTTTTACTTCAGGAACATTAGCTTTTCAAACATGAATTTTAGAAACTATACTTTATAAGAGGTAGCTCCATTTTTTTTTTTTGGAGGATTTTGCAATGTGTACCAAATCTGTTTGATCTTGTGGTAATCTTTCTCTCCAAATTATTTTTTATATTTTTCCAACTTGCATTCATGAACAGATTCCATATTTTGCCCCTATAGATTATCTATGAAAAGAAGGGGGAGAAGTTTTCAAAACTTCCTGAAGTTTAACAAAATCTATGGGAGAGAGCATCCTAATTGTTCTGCACTTGGCATTCAGAACCTGACATGCCTTTCACTGCTGTTTTTTTATGATTTGAATAATCCTAAAAGAGAGTCCTTTCTTGCAACTTGCCTCTTTTAGGTTAACCATAAATCTTTGCTTGTGGGTTTTCTGTTTTGACATTCCAAGCCAAAGATGAAATGAGGTCCCTTAAATATTCAGCAGCATACTCTTTTGTTTGAGGGAGATAGGATTGTGGTGACTGGCAAGATTTATATTTGGGTGGTGCTGCCTGTCCACCTTGACATGTTGAGCTAGTAAAGGAACATGGAATAAGAGATTAAAGGCAACTAAATGGTACGTGCCAATTCACAGGGTACTAAGCACTTTCACTGGCTGCCAACAAACACTTCTAAAAGAAGATGGCATTTAATTCTCCTTGATGTGGACAAAAATATCTCTTGGGGAAAAGAAAAAAAATGTTGCTTTTTCTCCCTCCACCTCAGCATGGTCATGGAAGCAATAAATATGCTGACAGAGTTGCTGAGGCTTGGTACTGAAAGCAGAGATTTAGGGAAACAATCAGCATTTAGAAAGGGGAAATTAGAAAATAAAATAACTCTTGTTGTCCCATTTTTTTATGATATAATACCAGAGCTCTGAAATACATGGATGTATTTTCATTTAAATTTGGGTTGCTTGAATATTGTTTATGCCTTAGCAATATGTGGAGACTTTTTTTCCTAGAAAAAGTACTTAAATGCTTTTTGTATTTTCCATAAGCACTCCCCACAGAGATTTTTGCAATAAAACACTGACTTAAAGGTTATAAGAGTGACTATAAATCTGTGCTAATGCTGTATCCTAGGTTCTGTAAATCCATGGCCTCAAGGCAGTGAATTTGTTAGTGAGAATTATGCTGAATGACTGCCTCGTGTAGTGTCATTCAGGGTATTATGTTGACACATGCTTGGTAGTAATCGTGCTGAATAATTCAGATTTCTGGCTGCATATGCCATTAATTCTGATGATCTGAACTTCGAGTTCCAAACCTACCAGGCTTTTTGACCTTATATGTCTCTCAAGACACAAAAGAAGTGCTTCCTTCAGACAGAGATTTGTAAGACTTCTCCCATTCTAGGTCAGTTTCTGTTGACTGCCACTATGATCCTCATCTAGAGTCTATGAGAACTCTGCTGGTGGTCTGAGTGGATAAAATCCAGAGCCTGGGGAAAAAAGCCATCCAGAAATGTGTGTCTGCCTGTCTTATCTGTTATGCTAGTGGTCTTTGGCCAGCAAGAGGTCTTTTTCACAAATAGTTACTGAAAACCGGTGTTTTGTGAAAAGCGAGCTAAATTTGGTTTCATCCATGTGTGCAGAAATGTAGTCAGACTTGATACTATCACTAGTTTTGAGTGCTGTCTCCATAAAGGAAAACA